GTCGGTATAGTGAGCTGATGCATGGGGCGTCCATGCAAAGGGTTTAAGGATTGCGCCCAGCACATCCATGGCATGCCCAGCATACCGTTTCTCAGGCCCCAGGCCATAGATGGATTTCAGCAAAAGATTGTTTTATCCATCATCCCCCCCCCTAAAGCTCATCTTGTGCAACCATTGCCTGACTGTCCGCCGTATCACACACAACAAGCCTTCATCAAATTGGTCATCTCGTCACTGGACCAATCGATCCACTCGCGATCATAGCTTTCGTCGTAGAACGAGAAATCAAGATGCGAAGCAGGGTCACTCACATTGGCGCAAGATGGTACCCTGGTGCACCAATGATAGGCATGCAACATGTTGTCAACTTTACCGGACACGCACAACATGTTGAAGGAATCATCCACATGAGATGCGCGTGAACCATAAGCCGCTCTGGCTGAGCCAGTATCCATGAACCAGAGGACGCGCCTCCTCTGGAGCAGGTTCTTCCAGTGGATCTTGCTCACTAAAACTGGGAGCATTTCGGCTTGACCAACAAGCTGCTTCTTGCCTCCTTTCCTCCATGAAGAATCTATCTTATTGGGGGCCATCTCGCCAAAGTACTTTCGAATCCCATTGGAAGAATCATACAGAACTGCTCCACGCGAGACAACTTCCCCATCATCCTCACAAGCTCCATCAGAAAAGATAATTACAGTCTTTGGATTGATCAAGGTTTCCACCCCTCTAGGTATGTGGCATTTCCTTGATCGCGCTCAAGGTGTCGCGGAGTAATAATAATTTAGACTCGCACAAGATGGAATTCTGACTTTGCGTTTTGTGTCTGGACAAAATCCTCACCGCGCACATTGCCACTCTACCAAAGGTATGTGAAGATGCATACGTCAACTTGCCTCGCAGTGCAGCCAACTCCGTGTGACGCAAATGTTTTCGAGCACAAATCGCCTCGACGATGTCCTCGAGCGCCTCTAGACGTCCTTCTTTGCAAGAACACCCTCTACTGTCCGACGCAGGTTGAAGCTAGCGCCTAGAAGGGTGAACACCTTTACAAATGGCAGCGCTTTGCGCGCCTCGTCCGCTATCCTCTAGCCAAGCATTCGGAAGATCAAACTGGCAGCTTCTGTCGCCGAGTGTGTCAAAGAACCTTTTTCAATTTGACAGAAATCATCAAAGAAATTTGTCACCACCAGTTTGATTAACCTAATCAGAATTTTCCTAAGGGCAGAGGCAACCCTATTGAAGGCTGTGACCGAGAGCGATGATCCGAATGGCAAAGTTGCAAACCTATAGTAAACCATATCGCGCAGATCCGGGTCCCACACTCCAAGGATTGACGCCCATGCATCTTTTGGGTTGCTCGCCAGCTGCTTATAAGCCGACTTCAGGTCCATGGCACGACCACTCAATCCTTGACCTTGGCATTGCTTCTTCGCTCCCAAGTGTTTCATGAAGGTTCTAACCGTTTCTGACAACGTGTCGAGGTCTTGCATCACGAGATGATCTTCATGGCTTCAGCCCAGATTATGGATGACTGCAATTATGGATGATTGGCTTCCCGCTTGCAACTTTATTTCAAGGAGAACAAGCGGTTGAAAGGTTTCCTGGTCATTTGAAATCAATGGTTTATGAGGTGATTAAGGTTTGGGGTTTAAAGTGTCTTGCTTAGTTTAAACGTGTTTTGGATGTAAGGTTACCCTGGGCATTCTCAGTGTGGATTCCTGCTTTCTGCTTTGCCATTCTATTGGCAAAGAACCTCATCGGGACCCCATCTTCTCGAGCACTTGCTAGGGGTGGAAAGTGGGATGAACAGAGAAGTGGTGGGCCTTAGCCTGGCCTAACACAAATTCTAAAGCCTGCGACAACGCAGCAACAACTCATCAATCCGAACTGGAGAAGGAAAGAACATCGTTCAACTATTTTGCCCAAGCAACAAAGAGGCGTCTTGTGTTATTCTCTCTGTTTCTGTGGGTGTCTGAGCTAAGCGAGTTTACTCAGCCTGCGTTTGTCAGTAAGTTTTGATCTTGAGCTTCAGCAGCTGACACAAGCTACATGGCACTGTCATGCATACTGAGCATATGTCTTTGATTTAAACACAACCGGTGTGGGTGTGAACCTGGCTATCAGGGAGGAGGAATGCCAGTATGGTGTCGGGCAGATTGAAACCGACACGCCTTGTGAAAGTTGGCAGTCAATTCCCGACAAAATTTGTTTCAGCCGTGTGTTCCTTGGAAGAATTGCAGAGGATGGCGCCTTGGATCAATGCACGACTGAAGGCGGTCGCAAGCAGGAGTGACCCCGAAGCTGCAAGACATATCCGTGATGAAGCAAAAACGCAGCGGAAGATGGATCAGGATGACTACTGGGTCCTTACTCGAGGGAACAATTAGACAACCAGTTTCCGGGTGGTTGGGTTGCCTCAGGTAGAATTGGAATAGCTCAGGGTCTTTCGTAAATGCATCCTGCGCGAGGGGCCGAAACTTAAGTGACTCAGGTTGGCCCAAGGGTTTGTAAGCTTAAGAAACGACATGCTGGGACAGAAGCTTGGGGATTGAGATCTCACAGTTGAAAGATTGTACTCTAAGGGGTGGGGCTACCAGGTACAGCTCAAACAATCCAAGGGTTAGTTCGAGCCAACCCTAAAACCCAAACCCTGTACCCTTCAATGGTGAAATCCGAGAAGCAACAGTCCATCGATTCGGACTCGCACCACCCAGCCAAGGTCACCTTAAATCTAGGGGCGGCTAAACTAGGGTTGAGAGCTTGGGGGTGAAGAAAAAAGGTTGGGAACACATTCCGCAGGCGAATGATATCATCCAAGCTGCTGAGAACTGAAATGGCATCGTCACTGGATCCAAATCCTTACAACACGTTTCGATTATACGGTTTGTAGTTCAAGTTGGTAGGTCGAGCTGGGGTGGTTTGGTTTTGGGGTTCAAGAGACAGGGTTCCCGATCCCACCCAAAAATCCTCGACAACCAAGTTGGATCATCCAAGCAGCCGTTCACTGAGCATTGCATAGGTTGATGAAGACGAATACTTCTGCGGATACCTAAGGTTAAGGGGTGAGGTCTAGGGCATATCTAAGGGGTGAGGTTCAAAGGCGGGGGATGAGGACTGGGAACTTAGGGCATGGGTTGGCTGGCGGTTCGAATTCAGGAACAATGTCCCACAGGAAACATTTCAAAATGTCTTCGCAAACCTCTCCCATTCCTGGCCCAAGAACCTGGAGCTTTGCATTTTGCATCAGCCAGAATACCCACGCATCTCATCGCATCGTAACAACACCTCCGATGAGGCTAAGGTCAAGGACTGCACAACATGTATTTCAAGTTAATGTGTGAGGTTGAAGAGGCTTCATGTTCATCAAACATGTTTGCAAAGTTGTGTCACACAGCGTCTCCCACCCACACAGAATGGCAACCCATTCGATATGAGTCCACAGACTCCACACCTCAGCTTGAAGGCTCAAGAGCGAGGCTTGGGGTTGATGCAAGTTCAGGAGCTAAGGGGAGTAGCAGGGCCACAGGCCGCAGGGGTTTGCAACTTTGCAAAGTTTGGGCAAGACCCAAGATGTGAAAACAAAATTTAATGTCCGAGGAACATAGTATTGAGCACCCCTGCATTCGGCGGATCACGAGGCACAACCTGTAAGTTTCGAAGTTAAGCTTGATGGGTTCAAGTTGCAGGTTTAGGAGTCTAGGGTTGGTTTGAAGTGTGAAGCCTGAGAGGTTAGGTTACGTTGGAGCGCACAGCAGCACATGAACAAATCATAATTCAGTGCAAAAAGCCAACCGGTGAGCAGCATCATGACCATCCAAATAGATCGATGCGGAAAACCTGAGCCACGGGGTTTAGGCTTTAGAGTTTAGGGTAGACTGACCCTCACCCTTTAGCACAATCAGTCAACCCTCAGCCCTGAGCTTTACCCATCCTGAACCAGTCAAGAGATCACCAAGCAACACAAAATGAAATCTCCGCAAGACTGAGGCTCAGTCTCTCGAATGTTAGCGCATGGAGTTCGATCGCTCGGCCATCAAAGAAGGCTGGACCGCCTGGATATCTGGTAAGTGCATTGAAGCGACATGGATGTGAGCTCATGTTGAAAGCTGCCCAAATCGCCAGCTCCAACTTTCCCACATTCCTACACTGTCCTAAATTGCAACAAGAACCCTACCCCAAATGGATTTCATATTTTGCAAAGTCTGGCAGGTCCTAGCAAATGTCTCCGATGATGCCCACCCTTGCATCTCCAGCAAGGTTCAAATACCATCCAAGAAGTTTGAATGCGGAGCTGGTAGCCACTTGAAATTAATGAAAGCGCATGGCTTCTCCCGGGCGCGCTCCCACACGGCTGTCAGCGGCGGGATATACACGATCCTCGAGTCCTCCATCTGCACCTTGTAGGCCAATCCTGATTTCTCCCTGAGATCAACAAGCTTGTCATCCGCATGGCGGAGGACCTTTCTTGCCACTGCACCGATATCCTTGCGCACCTTCATAGCCTTGGATGCCAAAACATGCAATAACAAGCCAAGCACCACCATTGAAGTAAGACACTTGCATGAGACTCATGAGACTGGCACTGGCAACCCACACACGTTCAGGTGACCTGGCACACTTCCATCTCGCCAAGGAAGCAACGCCGGAAAGAACATGTTTCCACCACAGCAAAGACGTCTGATCCTTCTTGATGCCCACAAACCCCGGCACAAAGATCTTAGCGTTCTCCGAGTCTCCCGCAGTGGCCACAGGCTTGGTGTTTTTTACCCATGTCTCGTGGTTCTTCAAGAGTTTCTCTGCACCACCTCCCAGCTTCATGAAAATTCGATCATTGCTGACACAAGCTTGGCTGCTCTGGAACTGATCTGCAAACATCACCTTCCTGCTTGCGAAACTGTCATCATCTGCATATTTCTCAGGCGTCATGACAGTCATGATGTGGTGGGACGGAGCATCCACACAGCCATCTTTCAAGAAGTCATCCACTTTCAAGGGTGTCAGTTCCGGACACACCTTGAGGGTTGCCACAAAGAGCGCAGCCGCCATCGCCCCATGCGACCCACGACCACGCTTCCCTTCAGCAGCCTCAGCTGCTTCCGCTTGATCCTGCTCACGCTTTGCTTTGGCCTCCTCCCGTTTCCGCTTTGCTTGCTCCTCCTTCTCCTTCTTCTTCTCACGCTTGATGCACTCTTTGATCGATTTGGTTGCCTCCGTCAAGGCATTGCTCAGGCCCTGAGTAATCAAAGACCAGGCCTCAACGCTACCCTTCACAGTCTCCGCATCCCTGGGAAGGCTGTCTGCTGAGCTGCACTTCTTCAACGCTGAAATCTGCCGAAGAAGGCTAGCATGGCAAACAAGAAGGGCGTTGTTGGGGAGCAGCGAAATGGGAACGGACTGCAACATCGTCTGAAGCTGTGCATCTGCCGCTGCGGCCTCTTCGTTGGTTTGCATCAACAACGCAACCTCCAGGCGTTGCACCACGACTCCCTTGTACTCCGGGATGAGGCCACGAGCGTCCGTGATCTTGTTCGCCTCTGCAATGGGAAGGTCAACTAACTTCCAAACTACAAAGTAAACAGGGACATCACGAAAACATGCATGGGAACATGGGCTGATCCTGTGACCTTCTTGGATACATTACGGGCATTAGGCTTGGGACGGTCCACGGAGTTTAGGGGCGTTTTGGCCTACATATTTCCGAGTGAGACGCACTAAAGTGGATTGCACAGCCAGCCTCCAACTCAACACGATTGTATGTGGCATTAAACTCCTTAAAGACTTTGTCGAAGCCTTGGGAGGTCTCCTCGTAGGCGCGGAGCCCTGCCACCGTTAGGTCAGCAACGCTTTCATCTGCCCCATCATTGGTCGAAGTCGATCCAAATGACCGATGCTGGCGCTTCGAAGCGGATGCTGCGGCGGCATCCTGCTTCTTGAGCACTGCACCCGCCTTCCCTGGTTCTCCCTGAGCATGTCGTATGCTCCATCAGCCTGAAGCTTGTCCTTCCACTTGGCTTCTATGGCAGAAGCCTCCATTTTTTTCTCCTTGTAGAAGCGCTCGAACTGGAACCAATCTGCTTTCATGTGTCTGATGCCATCATCCACCAATTGCTCCTTGGCCAGCAGCTCCACCACCCTGGCCTTGCTGTAGCTTGGCCTTTTTCGGCCGGAGCCCTGCGACGGACATTCATTTTGATAGTCCCGGATCATCTTGCGGAACACAGCCGGGCCTTTTTGACATTCAATGAACTTCTCACGCCGTCCCTGCTCTTTACTGTCTTTGAGAGCAGCATCGACATCTGTCTTGCATGGGGCACAGTATGGATTCTTGGAGCAACTTTCGGCTCTTTCGCATATTGAACACTGCAAGCCTTTGTACGACTCGCGCCCGGACTTTTTATCCGCCTTTTGTTTACTCTTGGCCGCTTGGCCTTTGCCTTCCTGGTTGCAGCTTTGGGATGAGGCGGCGGCGGAGGAGCTATGGAGGCATTGGTGTCATCGGCAAGCCCCGACAGGCTCTCATCAGCTTCGAACGCATCATCCATTGAGGAGGGAGTGTGCTGTGAGCGGGAATTCGCTGGCGCAACAGTACATGGGTAAGACGTGTGGCCCCATGACCAGAATGTACTAAGTCCCATTTGAAGGCTGCAGCTACAAATGTACAAATATTTGATTGCATGAGTGTCACGCAACATCCAGAACAATTGCAAGAACAGAACAGATTGCGCCAGAGTGCTGCTGCTAAGACTCATGACACAGCACAACAAGCGCCACACTGCATGCTTCAGCAATGTATCCTGACATGTTGCAACTGCAGGTTTCCGTGATGCCAAGGAGCTTTGCATCACTCAAGCTCAAGAAAACTATGCAAACATATCAGACTCAGTGAATGTATCAGGTGGAATTTTGCAAGCGCCGCGCAAAGCATCAAACTCCGGACTGGGCCTCTGTTGGCGCCCGAGCAAAATGCATTGACTGGTCTTCCCCACAGTCAGGAAAGCGCCAAATCAGAAGATCTGACGGCCCACATTCAGCATTTGGTAGCATGACGTCTGCAAGGTCGCTTACAAACTTACAAGGCTATGAACTCTAGTTGGCCAAGCCTATGCAATCTGTTGGCTCCGAATCAACGCTAGTGCTACCAAAGCTCAATGCCCACAAGACTGGTCTAGCTACCGGCGGCGTCCACATCCTCATCTTGTGGCAAGAACTGGAAACTAACAGAACGGAATCTGAAGATATCCTCATGCTCTTGCTTCGCAAGCAAGCAACCTAGAACAAGGACATGACAGTCCCCATCAATGCTCTGCGCACGCCGTTCCCAAACGAGTGCAGCACAAAGAATCTTGCAGAGGGTCAGTGGCCATCTAAGTGCCCTCAACAGACTGGCACCAAGATCTCGCACGCGGAATCAGAGCAGGCTCGAGGTCCTGCAGAACAGGTATTCCCTGCATTGTCAGATGTTCAACTGGCAACGCCAAGCGCTGTGCGCGACGGCACCATAGCCTTAGAAGCAGAGGGTAGCACCCAACAACCCTAAACTCCCAAACTCGGCATGCCTCATGTTGTCCTAAGCAGAGATCGATATGACGCATGGCAAGTGGCACGCTGTTCTGCAGCAGGCAAGGAGCATACTGCGACACTGATGTCCAATCCAAGTTTTGAGCAACATCTATAACGTCTTCCACGCTGGCATCCATAGTCTGGAGGCAAACCTCCAGGCGATGGCATTGCCCCGATGTCAGGATGCTCTTCAAATCTGCTGGCACACCAGGCGGCACGTACATACCCTTTCTTGCAAGCTTGGCCACCAAGCACTTTTAGACAATTTCTGAATCTGCACACAGGAGGTCCGAGCCAGTAAAACTTGGCTCTCTGCCAAAGAGACTGCACGAACAGTACCACTTGTCCTTGCGGATCATTGCTGTCAAGCGGCGCGGCCGGCGAAAGGTTTAGTCGCCCAAGAAACTTGAGTTTATATCAAAGGAGGAAAAGGGAAATCAGCTAAGAATTGTTCTGAGGGCGGCTGCAAGAAAGCTGAGCATGAACATTGTTGCATTTAGACAGCATTGCACATGACACTCCAGCATTGCACATGACACTTCTGACTGCCTTGCAAAATCTTGCACCGAAGCACAACAAGACAAGGTACTGATCACAGGCAAGGCGATTAGCTGGATAAAGATGATGAGGAGGAATCTGAATCAGAATCTGAGTCGGAACTGCATGATGATTCGGGCGAAGGCACATCTGCCTGGCGAAGGCTAGGCAGCAGCGCCAGCAGCTGAAGCACTTGAAGCAGCAGAAGCAGCAGCAGCAGCAGCAGTGGAAATTGCAGGGCGTTTGCGCTTGCGCGAAGCACTGGCCAGACAGGGCCTGCCTCTAGACTGCCGGTGGGGCTAGGCTCATACCATGATTACATGTCTGCAAGTGCATGGGGCTCTTCCCGGGCTGCGGAATTGGGCTCACAGATGGCAAAGGTTCATGAACATCAATTCACGCTCAAAAGCTGTAAGACGCACCTTCTGGCTCTTTGGCTGGAGCGCAAGAAGGCTTTGCAGCGTGTCCTTCCCAGCAGCCAATCTGATCAAGCATTCGAAGTACTTGACAGTCCCCATATGGAAGACAGTCTGAAGACTCAAACTCAGCAATGCATCCCGAGATTCTTCAACCGCTTATCGCATGAAGATAGGCCCTGGAAATAAAGGGATGCGAGCGCGCAAAGTGCCAGATGCATGAAAGGCGCATTGTTTGAGGCTGATGCAGATGCTCTCTAGCCTCTCGCACTTACTTTTGTTGAAAACAATTTAAAGGCGCATGCATGACTTTTTTGACAATGTTAGACGTAGCCGTCACCTGCTTCTACCAGAACCCTGAGCACCTCTGGCATTCCCAAGGGTTCTTAGCAATCCTTGGTGTTGGCAATAGCAGTTGTCAATGAGACTCTCTGCCAGCATGGCGTCTTTAGATTCAGAAAGTGTCCACTGTAATGCGTGTTTTTCTTCGGAAGGGCCCCTTCTTTCTTGGAGAGATTCTCTTGCGAGCATCTGAGCAAACCTGCTATCGACCTCATGCGTGCTGGTGCAACTTCTACACATCTGGGGCAAGATAAGGGTTGGATAGCCTTGGTGGAGGGTGGTTCGAGGTTGACTGCTTGGGCAAGCCAGTGACTGTGTTGCAGCCACGCATGTTGGAGGATAGAGTCCTGAAGACAAAATTCAAGTGTATAATCCTCGTGCGTGACAAAGGCTGGGTGACTCTCTTCACAGAAACAAGGCAAACTGGCACTCACGCTTGCTATGCCTGGAAAGGCTTTAGAACCGCATCAAGCTTCTGTACCCTTGACAAGGCTGCACTTATTTTCTGAAATGGAAAGTTATCTTCTTGCACGACTGGATCAGTGGACAAGCGAACAACAGCAGCGTAATACGCATCCACGAGGAAAGGCTGAGGGACCTTTAAAGGCTTTGAAGGGAAGGTCAAGGCTTCAAAAGCTTCAAGGACTTCAAGGGAAGGGAAACTGCAACTTCGGAATCTGGGTTCCAGCCAGAGTTCAACTTAAGTTCTGAATGGGTTTCTAGGTTGTTGTTCACCCTCTTTCTCTCTCTTTCAGAGGCGATTCCAAGTTGTTTGAACCTAAAACTCTTAAAGGATTGCCTTTCTGGATGTTATTCTCACTTGGACATCTTTGTGCCTTTGCCGGGCCTTAGTTTCTTTAGGATTTTTCCATTTTGGAACCTTGCAAGGCTCTTTCGAACCTTCTCTGGGCTCTGGAATGCACTTTAAGCGGTTCTGGTTTGAGCTGCGCCAAATATGTGCTTCATAAAACGATTTCGCTTTTAATTTGAAGTTTGGTTTTTTACATATTTTGAATTTACAATTTTAGCTGATGGCTTGGTATTTTCAGATGCGGAACGCGAGATGGGGGCAAGCACGGGGGACTCCCCTCAGACCCTTCCCTTTTTTTCGAGACCGAACACGCATGAAATAATGTTGCTAATCACTTCCATTCTTACCCACTGTGCCCAAACTTAAAGAAATCCACCTTTTCTTGCATGAAGAGTCTCTAGAAGGATGAGAGGACAAAATTGTTTAAAAACAGATTGACGTTTTCTTTTGCTCAAAACTCCGTAGAGGTGGAAATTTAAAAAAATGAATCAACCTTTTTCTTTTGCTTGAAGAGGTATGGAAGGGTTAAGATTCAATCTTTTCTTAAAAATCTATGAAACCTCTCTTAAGTCCCCCTTAAGCCCATCCGTACCCTCCGCCTCCAGACGAATGCGAACATAGCAAACTTGATTGCAAGATAAAACTAAAGTACTGTAAGATAAACACAGAAGCAAGAAAATTTATGCTTGCAACTGGTTAAGGAAACGTAACACCATCTACTTCTACTAAACTCATTGTCATCTCCCCTCTTCTTTCAAAATTTTGCCATTATGCAACTCTTTTGCAGTCTACTGGCGTGGAAAATGGGTGGTTGAAAAAGCGTGTTAACGTGAATTCTACGGTCTATGACCCAAAACAAACCTTCC